ATGCTACACAGACTTTACTCGTACATTTTATTTTAAGTAAAATTTGTATGATGTGTGAATCAGCTGTTTTGGTTTGAATTTAAATTTTTGTATGGTTTATTTGCGTGGCACTGGTGTTCTCAACAGACTTTACATAAAGCTGTGCCATGAAAATCTGTGTAAAGAGCGTAATTTAGCACTTTAATTGTGTTACGCTCATTTTTTTGGACCCTTTTTGTTTTCTCGTTCTGTATTTTTCATAGTGTTATAAGTGAACAAAATATAAAATAGTGCAAAGTTGCATTCATAAAAAAAATTAATTGGAAATATCCACAATAAAATTGGGTCGTCAAAAATGTACCAGTTTTTGAACACGAGTACCAAACGAAAAAAAAAAAGTACCAATTTTGGTACTAAAGTACCATAAGTGGCAACCTAGGTTACGCTTTCAGTTTGTACTTTACTTGTAATTTACTCAAGTTTTACTATGAGTAGCTGGTGGAACAGACCTATTATGTGTATTATGTATGTGTTTTGACTAAATGCTTCAGACCATATAAGGAAAGTATATATAAATAAAAATGATATAATTTTTAAAACAAATAATTTCTTTAAATCTAAAAACAATATATATAAATATATAAATAAATAAAATATAAATAATAAATAATAAAATATATATAAATAAAAATTATATAATTTTTAAAACAAATAATTTCTTTAAATCTAAAAACAATACATGAATAACTTAATAATAATTTGACTTAGTCATATATGTATACAACATAACTTTTAAAGTTATTTTTGTATTTAAAAACGCTTGAGTAACGTATGACACCCTTATTATATATTAACATTTACTTTGTATATATTTATTTAATGTACACATTTTTGTTATAAGTTAAATATAGTAATATTATTTTATAAATAATATACATAATATATACATAATATATAAATATTTTAATTGTACAAAGAGCTCAATAGCAGAATCTGGTACTTGACTAAAGTTGTGGCTTATATTCTCTTAAAACTAAAATAGTTTTAGTCTTCACATTTATCAACAATAATATAGTACACTAATTAGAGTATAAAATAGTTAAAAAAATACATTAAATTATTCAACAACATTTTTTTTTATAACTTAATATAATAATAATAATTAAACAGTAATAAATTACTAAAATAATATGTTTTTCTATGTATACATTGACTTATACTATATTTTAAGGTTTTCGTGGGTGTGGTGTTTGTATTCGATTCCCATTATGTTTTTTTTTTGTTCTGTTACTATCTTTTAGGACAACAGACCCTACTTGCGTGTCCAATATTGCCAATAGAAATAACAGGATCAGAACCAATGTAAGTGAATATTTTATTAAAAGCATTTTCTATGTGTGTGTTTATGTATTTCGAGTCTTTTAAACGTTTCTATTGTTTCTGTATTGTATTTTATAATTATTTTACTTTTACAATATTTACAATATTAATGACGTGACAACAATTATTGTATCTCTTGTTCACAAATTCTTACGCTACGAGTTAGTATCACGTTTATCTTGAAGATATTAAAATATTTTGTCTACCGTTGTTTGATTTTTTTATCTTTCTCGTTCACTCGCTTATTTGTTTGTTTTATTTAACAAAAACTCAAAAATTTATTGTTATTAATATAATTTTATTTGAATATAAGATCTCACATTAGACGCTATTAAATATTTGTTTTTAGTTTATCAGTTATTGATGTTCTTATATTATTTGTTTCACAAAAAAAAAAACACTTGTGTTGTTTTTAATTGTCTCAACACTTTTAAATTATTTAATTAATTTTTTTACTTTGTTTTTTTAAATAATTCAATTCTCTTCGACTTCTGTGTATTAACTAAATTAAGTTTTAATTGTGAGAAAATTTTATAGCCGAAAACGTCCGTTCGATTCAACTGCGAATTTGCGAATGCCTCAAAACTGATATGTTCCCTAACCAGATTCGTTGACCAAGAAAAATGACTTAGCCCCTTTCTTACGGTACCGTCCTCACTCAACTTCATTCATTCGTGCTCACTTTATTTTGCAATCGAAATCCCAATATATAATGTAGAGCACAGAACCGCAACTGATGAGTGTTAACATTTCACGTATTTTAATATATTATGAACAAATTCATTTGCTTAGTCTTAACCGAAAATAAAGGAAAATATAAGTGAATTATACTTTTTTTAGTACGTAGTCTGCACTTTAGAGGAGTTGCAAGTGACTCTTTCCGTTACAACGACGTCAATACCTCAATAACCAAAACGTATTTAGTTTTATCCCATAGACAAAAATAAATATTGTAACTGACTATACTGACTATACTGACTCTAATAAATATTATATGGAAAAAATGCAGATAAAATCACATCTAGAAAATGAAACAGAAATATAAATTTACGAAAATCTAGAAATACTAGAAGTACTTATCTAGAAATACGAGTTCTGTTTGTTTATAAAAATTTTCATAAAAGGTATTAAGTGGATAGATAGATGCAGGTAGTCACAGCATTCATTATTTACGAAGCAATAGACTTAGTAGTGACACCATATTAACTACTTCCAATCGGGTACCTAATTACTGTGATGTAATAATTAATGTAAAAATTTATTGCATTGTGACATGATCCCACACCTAATCCAATTGTGCGCCTTCGTTAAACCATTTCATTCATGTCACAAATGGTGTTAATCTGTTGAAATACTATTCATTCATGTCACAAATGCTGTTAATCTGTTGAAATACTATGTAATCCCAATCAGATGCCTAACCAAACTATAAGCCTTCATTAAACTATTTTGTGGATGTCACGAATTGTACCAAGCACATTAAAATATTTCGTTGGTGGCATAATTAATGGTAACCTCGCAGAAGTCCTGTTTGCCACATAAGATATCTCATCCAACTGAAAATAACCTTATTGAACCATTGTTCTTTGCTGAATTGAAACAGAAACTCTACACATTTTGATCCCCGTCTTTGTATTGTTAGACTATATCTTATTTACGCTTATTTACAGAACACCCTATATATTATTAATATCAAATATGATGTATTGGGTAGTACGCATGTAAAGCATTGCGTCATTGATATATAATAATACGTTGATGTACTATTTTGAGTAATACTATTTAAATATAATGATGTCAGCTTCGTAGTATAGCATGATAGAAGCTGTAATTTGGTCAGGTACAATTTACATATGTTAATTAACATTTAATAAAACAGAACTTTAAGGTAATTAAATATCGCCGGTATAGTGACGCAGCTAATTTCTTTAAGGCGATAGTTTATTGTTAGTGAGCACAAGTTTAGCGCATAAAATTATTGACGTCTGAGACAATACTAAACGATGTTATTAGTAACAAGCAGTCAGATTATAAAGAATTGTTGTCAAAAGAATTCCTAAACTTTAAAAGCAGTTCGATTAAATTTAAATGACTTTTAAATAAATATCCTTTTACTGCTTTGCTAAGAATGTAGTTATATAGTTATAGTAGTTATATAAAATCACTGATGTTCAAGCAAAAGTCCCAACTCAATAGGCGAAGTTTACTTATTTTAAATTGTCACCTTACACATGAAATGTTATGGTTTATACATTATTATAATAAATAATGTAATATATAGTATTGGATAATATAATAATATAATAGTTTGAATGTTTCAAATTTCAAATTTCATATAGTTATATATTTCTTATATAAATTCTTTTTATAAATTGTAATTAATTGTACTTTTTTAAATGGTTAATTTTAACGGACAAGATATTTTAAAATAATAAATTTAAGTTACTGAATAATACAATATTTTAAGAAAGAATATGCACACTTAGTATATATACAATTATGCTATCATACCGCCTTAACTAACAGACGTCATATCATAACGTATCAATTCACAAATTTATTTACAATTCTGCTTGGTTTGGCCTGATAATAATGTTTTCATTCGATATAGGCACCTATATCGGATGAAAACAGGGATTACAACTACTAGTCCAATGAGTCATTAAGTGATTGAAGCCCTATAATGTTTCTGACTCATTAACGTTCAGATCAATTCAGACATGTGAAAGAAAAAAACTAATATGCATTTCTGGATAACTTGAACCCACAGAAGTCAAATTTGCGTCGATGTCACAGTAATAACTTTGGTATGACTTCAACCACTTAAATTGTTGACTTAAGTATCAACTAAGTCATTCTTAAACAGTTATTTACCATTTTAAGCTGGTAACTTGGTAACTTGGTAACAGTGTTTGAGTCATATAGTTTCTTTAATGTGAATTTATTTGTGATCCAAAATGAATTGAATAAAATGGTGATATCATTTTAATTTTATGAAAATCAACCGATTGAGTATGTCAAATCTCTATATCAAATATATTTAATAAAACAAGGAAAGAAAGATTGGATATGCTATGAGGATTTTTCAATTTCGGAGGTACTGGAAAGCTAACGGACGAAAGGATGTGTTGTATTTTGCAAACTGAAACAAAGCTCAATAAATCGAAATGTTAAGTAGCTGTTTCGTGAGTAGGATTCATTTAGGTTTACTTTTTAAACCATAAAATGGTTAAATAATTAACATAAACACTCTTTGTAATAGATTTTCATGCCGAGAGGATGCCACATGTAAGCTTAAATCTCAATAGATATTTTTGACTTAGTTCATTTTAGCGGTGGCTTACAAACATATTTATGATGATTATATATCACCACTTCTATACCCACTTCTCTCACTGGAATTATAAGTGGAATTAACTATATGGAATAAAAACTATTTATATATTATTAGAAAAAATTATTATTATTAAAATAAATTAATATTTTTTTCATCATTTTATTATTTTAGTTAAGTTTATAACATGGCTCAATAATATTTAATTTTTTGTCCGGTATTTGAGACAATTTCATCTACTCCTACAAAATAGTTTAATAGTGTCTTAATAATGTCTGTCAAGTCAATCATTTAATTAATTACTTCATTTTTATATATTATATGATTATTTGTTGATTTCAATTTCGTTTGTCATCGGCGATTCACTCGTATGTTCCACAACCCTAGTTGTTTGGCTCACAACATGAACTGCACCCGGTCCACTTCCAGTACCGCCTAATAAACCATTAAACAATGAAACTGCACCATTATTACCAGCATCATTATTGCCAATCAGCCTATCTACAAAGTCGTTTAATGTACCTATAAAACCGTCACTAATACGTTTTACTGATACTTCTAAACGTTTTGTCTCTTTGCCAATTTCCTCCATCCACGGTTTGGTTTTCTCTATGGTTTTCTGTATAGTTTGGAAGAATTGTTTGACCTCACTGAACTCATCGGTAGTTACCACCTCAGGTGCTTTTGTACTTGTATCTGATTCTGCTTTGGTTGTAGATACTTCAGAAACATTTTTATTATCACTTGATGGATTCTCATTTGCTTTTGTGTCGTTGATAGTTTGAGTTGAGTCATCCTTACAATTAATGGCAGCTGCTTTTGTATAAAAGTTTTCGAAATCTCCGACAATTGCAAGACAAAATAAAACCGCAAATAAAATTTTCAAAAATTTCATCTTAATTTTTTGTTTTTGTTTGCTTTTTTAACTCGTTTAAGCGATTTTCTTCTTGCGATACTCTCACTCAAATATTGTTAACAAACGTTTGGTCTTTTACGTATGAAGTTGAAATGTTAACTGATTCTCGCACAGCAACATCGCAAGGAGTTGGGTCGAATTTCTCCGCATCGAACGCTTCTTTCTTTTATGTTATTGTCATCGTCTTCAGCGTCATCATCGCCATCATCGCCATCATCGCAATCATCGTCGCTATCTAGCGTAGCAGTGCCGTAAACAGCTTTGCCATCAACAACCTGGCCAAGAGCAATATGTGTTAATGATTTATGTTGCAGGCATGATTCTTTAACCATTTAAGGGCATGACAATGCACTGTGCCAAACTCATGAAACTTGTATTTAACAACTTTTTTCCTCTTCTCGTTATATTAAACTCGCTCGCGTTATTCTTCTTCTTTCTGGTAGTTTAAAGTGGAATAGTTCTTTGGTGAAGAACTCGTGTGTCATTTCTTTTCTACACTGATTTTACCTCATTTGCAATACTAAAGCTTGTCTTTGTATTTACATTCCGCTCTGACTGTCTCTCGTCTTTACTCTTCACAATCTCATAAAACAAACATAAAGAATTATATATTTGGCTTGACATAGTTTTGAGCTTCATGTGAATACATAAGCAGACACGTTTCTAATTAATTTTATAAATTTTAAATACTTTCTATTAACTTTGTTTAGGGTAAACATTCCCCAGATGAATTTCAAGATCTTTCGTTTATTTAAAATGCTTTTAAGACTGAACAAATGTTAAGACTCAGAACCAGTTTGAGTTTCGAAGAGTACAGAAGTATTTATAATATGCGAAAATATAGAAATATTTGTTCTAAATTTCCAATCACTTTGAGAACCTTTAAAAAAAATTTTGATATTTGCAATGAATTCACAAATTAAAAAACATCCGAAAACTGCATTCTAAAATCAAAACTTAAGATTATCGAATTAAATTTATATTTATATTTATATAAAATATTTTAAAAGCTCAATATATTGTGTTTATAAAATATAATAATACTTAATATAAAATTATATTAAGATTGAATAAAGTAAAGAGTCAAACCCCCTTTTAGCTTTGAAACTTCAACCGGTATTAAAAATAAGCCTAAATTTCTGAATTTGATTTAAATTTAATATTGTTATTATTATGAGATAGCGTTGATCAAGCAATCAAGATGTGTATGACCCAAAGCAATTCCTAGAAATGGATCCGCGTCATGTAATTCTTCCTGGAAAGGGGAGTTTCTCAGCGGGTCAACGAGTATCGTGAAACTCACACTATCCACAGAAAGTTGATATGGGTTGCTATGGGTATGGGTAGACATTTTTTGTTCTCCAACCTCAAAACAAAAAAAAACAACTTTATAAGGAAGTTCGAAATATACATATACATATATTTATTTTTAATCGATTCTAATTTATACCTATATAAAATAATATAAATTTAAGGTCGAATGATACCTCTACTGATATTTCGTGTGACTTTGATCTAAGGCAGTGGAAAATTACTGGACTTAGAACCCCATCTGATGTTGAGATGACATTTCGGTCCTCACTTCTCAGCGGGCGTAGTGCCCACTGTTCAATTAGAATCGATAAGCAATGCAAAAATTAAGCCACGATAGCTATGCTCTGCTCAGCTGATAGACATCTTTTGCTTTGTAATTTTCCATGTTAGACTGAATGAGCTTGGCATAGTTTTGATTTATTTTAATGACATACTTCAATTGATCCAGAAAACCTGGTGAACTTTTTATCAAAAAATAGTCCAGAAAATTACTTTCGAACTTTTTCGACTGAATATCTGAACCACTTGCTATTAAGCATGCCAGAATAACTCTTTTGCAAGCCTATTTTAAGTAATCTCTTACTGCGCTAAACAGAAACAGAGACAGGCAACTGTATCTGGGTAGTGAGAATAGAATGAGATGAACTCAATATAATAGTGTCAAATGCATGATAAATGGAATAAAATCATATAAATAACCCCAGTGCAATGCTTAGCACTATTGAGAATGGTGATTTGTATCTAAATATTCTGATTTGTTTATTTGTTTAATTTTTTTTTTGTTATTCAACTAATGTGTAAAATTTGTAAAGTTTGTTTTTCCAAAACAGTTTTTTTCATTAAATAAACCCTATTCATTATAGTTATTAAAATATTTTTAACTCAATCAAAAAAAATTGATTGATTTAAATTTAAAATGAGGTTTTAAACACTATTGCGAGTGTTTTGACGGCGTTCAGAAAAGATGTTCGAGTGACCGATAACTAATTATTAAGCCTCAGTTTATAAGTAATTGTGGTTTTGCCAGTAATTTGTTAAGTAAACTATATTCTCCCCATCAATTAATTGCTATCAATTAAGCAATTGTATTATTTTTGAATTATTCGTTATTATTTTTGAATTAAAAATAATGTACATCCGAGATATAGCAAGAGAGAGAGGCAATTATGTATTTACTTAATAATTCATATTATTATGTTATTCCTCTCAAGAAAAGCTTTAACGACAATTTCTCGTTGAATTAAAATTTCTACAATGATTTAATCAAAATAGTATTTTTTTACAGAAATCAATTTTATTTTCACACTTGCCGAAATCCTACCTACGCCACTCGTTTGTCTGAATTTTAAGGTTTAGTAAGCCATTAAGGTTAATCAGGAGGTTACTCATCATAATTCCACGTACTGATGTAATTAATAATACAACTTATGTGAAAATGTTTTAATTTCAAAATTTCTTTGTTCTTATCATCACAAATTTATTGTTATAAATAAAAAAAGAATTTACATAAAAATGCAAAACAAATATGACACTTCAACTGTATATACTATGTATGGAACATTGTTTGATATTTCACTAAATTAATTTTATTTTCGTAGTTTACTACATTTGCCCAAGGCATCTAATATATGGCCATGTCCGCACTCTTGTTCTGCTTTTTCAACATCAGGATTTATGATCTCAACATGTTCAAATACGTCGTATTTTAAATTTTCAACATTTGATTGCTCTGAGACTTTTTCTGTGTAATCACTAAGTTTTGTCTTGATATCTGCACCAAAGTCTTTAGCCTTCTCAGTTAGTTTTTTAGCGCCTTCTTTAATTTCTCGACCCCATTTCTTTGCCTGCTCTTTCACTTTGGTGGCACCTTTCTTGATTTGACAACCGATGTTTTTAAAAAAATCACGTACTTCGTGTTCATTGGGGATTGTCGTCTCGCTACTTGTTATCTTAGGTCCAATATCAGCAATATCCGATAGAGAAGGTATGATTTTCTCATCACAATCCAAGAAATCTGCTCGTACATTAACTGTAGCGATGGCCAATAGTAGAGTAACAAACAAAAAGGATAATTTCATATTTAGGATCTTAAATGATTTTTCTTTTCTCCTCTGGACAATATTTGAACTGTTCTCGCGCAAAATATCAACTAAATATAAATCGACTCGATTGCGAACTTATGACTGAAATTGTACACTTCAGATAATTGACAACATTTGTATTTATTCAATCAAGAAAATTATTCTTTGTGCTACAATTTGTTGAATTCAATTCTTTTTTTTTCATTTTACATAAATTATAAACTACATCTTGCACTGAGCATATTGGTTCTTATTGCAGTTAAAATCAGATAGAGATAAAAGTGCTCCAAAAACACAAAAAAATCAACCTTTGTGAGATAATATGAATTAGATGTTCATGTGCACATGTATATATGTACAGCAATTTTTAATAAAACCAATTAGAAACATATGATCACACATTTTATTTGAAGCTAAAAGCCAAATCTCATATAAAATTATGTATTCAATTGCTATAAAAAGTTTTATTAAACCTATGTCTTCTTAATGATAATTAACTTAAGTTAATGACTACAAGATATATATATGCAACCAGGTTTCTAAGAAAATAGTGTAAATGTAGAAGATAATTTCTTGGACCAAAGAACATAAACAATTATGTGAGTGAGATACATTTTACAGAATGAGTTTTAGTTGTTTTGCGTGGTTATTTCCTGTATAGGCTTATTGACCACGGTGTTCCAAATATACGAACTCAGATAATGCACCAACAAATCCCCCATTGAAGTTTGATATTTAGCCCATCTGAAACACTGCAGTTTCTTTGGACATAGCACCCTGTTGAAAAAAAGCAAATATATAGCAATTGTAGGTATACAGAAATCTATCTAAACCACTGCCTTTTTGGGACATAGCACCCGCTTGAAAAAACGCGACTCACATCGAGTGAAATCATATACATCAACATTGCTTCTGCGTAACTTTGGATGTTAACCACAGCTACCAGGACGTTCTTGTAAGAAGCCAAACACAGTGTCAAGTACAATTTAAACTATGATCACCTGGATCTCATGGTACCAAAAACTCTCGTTTGGTCAGGTATCGCAATTAAAAGCTATTAATTATACTCCACAACAATTCATATTCGTATCTAATGAATTTAAGTCGCCCCCTTACGATAGGCGAAGCGCCCGAAGTGTAAGTCGCCCGAAACGGAAAATATTTACGGTGATATAGGATATCAAAAAGGATCCACACTGTTAACGGAAACAGCTTAAGTTGTATATTTGCCTCAGATCCAATAAGCAACATTTGCGTATTTATACTATAAATCGCAAAGAAACATATCAATGCATATGTAATATCTTAAATGGGATTAAAAAAAAGCAAAAAAAAAAATAATTTCTGAATAGTATCACAGAAGTAATTCTTTCTGTCTAAAATAAATGTTTTAATAATATCTCGAGTTAATAAAAAGTAAAAGTGCTCAAGTGCACTGACTTAAATAGAAATAAATAAATAAATACTTTGCCTAATAGTTTTGGACTCAAATGGGTGCAATGAATTTGTTTACTACAATCTATTATATCCTAACTGAAATTAGAAAAAGAATAGAACAAAAAATAATTTGTGAAAGACATTTTTATCCTCCTTAATAGATACTTAAGTTAATAAAAATAACCTAAAATTACGAGTCTACAGATAAATTGAAATAGTCAATAGATATTTATATCTAATATCTGCACGACCTATTGATGGTTTGTGATATACCATATTTTATTTTAAAAAAAGAGGTTTGTTATGTTATTCATTACCTTTGGTGCATAATTTATATATTATACATTATTATATATTATATGTATATATTATTGATGGTTTGTGAAATATTTTATTTTAAAAAAATGTTTTTAAAATACATTATCAAGATAGCAGTGACTTATGTTATTCAAACTAACATGAGCCCATTTCACACTGGCCGCCTAACACCTATCCATCGTCCAGCTATATATTTGTAATTGACTAAAGTAGCTTATTGCCCCTTTTGTACTAACCAACAAAAACTGGTCCAGCACTGAAATACTATTGTCAATTGCTACCGTAAAATCCAGCTTCCAGATGAAAAGTCTCTTTTTTTTGCTTTTTTCAGTGCTGTAATGACCACAAATGTACATACAACGAATGCATTTGTAGTTCGTTATGACCGGTTAATCCTATAAAATCTCAAATCTGCTGACTTTAAGAATTTATGACGTTTTGGTATTTACGTTGTATGCTTGACAGAACATTCGCAAGTACTTCTCGTGCTGAGACAGCACCGTTTCCCATATAATTCAATTTAAACCGAATGACTAAGTCTTACAATATTTGATTGGGAAGATTGAGTGCATACGTATATAGCTAACCTGTTATAATTCCATATCACAGAATACTTAGCTCAGTTTGAATTTAATCTGTTGATCTATTGTAATTTGAACACTAATAAAACCAAATGTTTTTCTTCTCTAAACTACTAGTAGCTTTGCTACTTAAAGATAAATGTTTTTCTCAGAAATAGACGCGAAGAAATTTGCTAAGCAGGAAATTTATTACCGTACGCAAGTGTTCAGATAATTTTTTGTGTGTAAATCGGTTTCAATAAAATAAGTGCAAAACAAAAATATTATATTTTATTTATATTTACAGTATTATTATTAAAACTCACATATATATTTAAATAAACTGAATCTGAATCTTTTAATGAAGGCAATGACATTTATTTTGGTTTCCTTGTAAATGTTTACAACGAACGTAAATAAATGACGTATAAAAATACTCTTAATTTTATAAACTTGAACTTTCTTTTATTTAAATAAAAATTAAATAAAATCTTTTTTAAACATATACACATTTAATTAAATAAAAATTAATCAAATATCAAAAACACTTGACATACGTTCTTAATCTGTGGTTGCAGGTGAAATGCCATACCAATCAATTTTCTTAACCCAATTACTTAACAAAATAAACTTTAGAGAATTAGACTTTAGACTATTAATATCTTAATGTTTTCATTGTTTCTATTCAAAAGCCATCTAATATCATCAATATTAGTTTCTAATATCCATAAATTTTCTTACTTGAATCCTTAATAATATTAACGACAGTATGATTACCATTATCTGTGCTATTATTATTCCTCAAGTAATTATTATACTCATCGTTTGTAATAAAACTTGTTATTAAGTCATGGTCTCATTTTATCTCGTAATTTTTGTTAAGATGATTCATTTATTTTATTTCGATCGCTTGGTATTTTACACAAAGATTGAAATCCAATAAAAATCGCACTTATACTGCGATTGTCGTACTTAGTTAGATGCTCCACTTAAGTATGCACTCAACTTAAGTGGAGTTGAGATTTATGGAGCTGTGGCAGTTTCAGACATTGATTAGGGTTTCATTTACCACTCTTAGATTTTGGTTGTTGTAGGCCAAATTATGGACTCTATCATCGGAAGCATGGTGATGATAGTTGCTAGAAAAGGAATGAAAGGCATAGGTCTGGATGCTGATAGATTATTCAATATTTAAAAATTGGACCTGAAGATGTTTTTTTTACGAATTGTTTGTTAAAATAATTATTATGAAAGTTTAATTCGATGTTAGAGATACATTTCTAGATTGCAATAACGACCGGGTCTATGTCCTCGATCCGCATGTCGACCTTGACAACCAAGTGTCAGTCAGCACCCCCAAAGGAATTCTACAATCATATCTCGGCGGGATACTTTAACAACATACACCTGACTGTTGATATGAGTTGGTTGATAGGAGTATGTTTTTCTATTTTATCACATTGATGGAGATATTCTTTCTTATAATAATTAAAAATGTCTGAAAAAGACTCAGTGTCATCTAAAAATAGAAATACAATTTTTTATCCAAATATGTCAGCTGAAGGATTATATATAAGTACTGGTATAAAAATCATTTATCAGAACAACATATATATCTTTTAACATTTAATAAAATTCAGTTATGATACTGATTATTTTTTTATGTAGTAAAAATTGTATTTATTGAATTTTAATAAAAAAAACGTATAAGCAAAACATATCTTGTAATCTGTTTTATTTTGGAAATCATATTTGGAACTAAAACATATAACGTATATACCTATATGAGGTATTAACTTTATGCCATCAAAAGCTTAAAACTTATTTTATTTATTTTATTTTATTGATTTTATTTAGAATTCATCATCATTTGATAGCACATTATATTCATCATCTTTATATATTTCGTTATCTTCATTATTTTCCTCAATTATATCGTTATCAACATCATTATCGACATTTTCTGCGTCATTATTATTTATTGTTTCAGTATCGTTGTCTTTATAATCTTTATTAAAATCTGTGAGATATTCATCGTTCTCATTATTATCATTCACTTCATTTTCAACATCAATCTCAGTATCATTATTATGAGGACTCTCTATAGTTTCGTTATTTTGATTCTCCCGCGAAACCGGTATATCTGGTAAAAATGGCAAATCTTCATCAGTTGTGGTGCTTACAGTTTCCCTTGAATCCACACTTCTTAAAGTTGTAGATGTTGTTATAGTTGTTGAAATTTCGCTTGGGGTTGAAGTAATACTTGTGGACATGGTTGATGTTTCTGGAGCTATGGTAGATGTTGTTGATATTGTTGTCACTAAAACCCCCGGAGATGTCGAAGTTATAAATTCTGTATCTGGTTCTGTGGAAGTAGTTTTTGGTTGGTAAGTTGTTGTTGATGTTATAAAGATTGGTTGGAGAGTTGTAGTTTTTGGTTCTTCATTTGGTGATAATTCTTTACCTAAAAACGGTTTTTGTTATTGATATATAAAATGAAAAGAATATAAAATAAATGTTCAAATACTAAACGTAAGCTTATAATTTGGAACTACAAAAGATATTGTATTGTAGCTACTGTAATTAAAATTAAGAAGTTGTGAGACTATTACGAACACTCCACGCTAATGGTGTTTCATTCTTTTTACTTGTATTTTTCTTTAAATTGGATGAGGGATTTACTATAACTTTTTGAAATATACACAAACTTGATAAGATCCATTAGATTATGGGGCTAAGTTAGTAATAAATAACACTGATATGTTTTTTTATGTTAATCCGCATAATAAGAAAATTTTTATTCATTCTTATATTAAACATTTTTAATATCTTTTTGAATAAATGGAGTTTTAATATAACTGTTTGAAATTTTTTTTTTGTTTTTTAAAGTAAAAAGTTTAAAAGTTCATTTTGCTCTTTAATGAAATTAAATTCATTGCTACTTACAATCATCCCAATATGGTTCGAAATCGCAACGTATCATTTTTTCCATCTCCTCATCAGTTACCTCATGATTATTTTTTTTATTTGGTTTTTGTGGTTTTAGGGTTGGCTTCGGTGATTGTACAAATTCTTCACCTTCAATAATTGTAAATTTTTTTTATGTTTATAAAAATACTATAATATTATAGTTAATATTATTTTTCTATTTTTGAAACTTACACCCTTCTAACCAAGGCTCAAAGTCACACGCTATGATCTTGTCAATGTCGTCATTATTAAAATATGGTTTGGGTGGCTTGTTGCGTGTATAGAAAATTTCCATTAAATTGTCCATGTACTCATCATCTCCATAAGTTGTTGGCCGACGATGCACAAGACGCCGGTAAAGAACTGGTTTCTGTTTTCTTCCATTTTTATTTCCGACTTCATCTACTGGAGCACACCAATTTTCTATGATGATACACAAAAACACTAGCGAAATCAAAAATATATTAAACCTCATATTAGTTGCGCACTTTGTGAATGAATTTTTTATACTAAATTGACTAAAATTAAAGTGAAATACATATTAATAGATAGACTATTCTTTAATAACAATTATTAATTTGATAACCTCAGAGTCAACGATTGTCATTTTCTGAATTTTTCGACATTCAAATTTTAGATGCATAATTTCAGGATTAATTTATCTTTTGAGTGTTTGACAAATTCAATTTATTTTGTTGTTGAAGAATCCGACACATGTTTGCGCTACATACAATAACATTATCTCATTGTTGATTTGTTTATTTTCACTACTTGAGGCAATTAATATATTTTTAAATAATTATGCATTATAAAAGATTAAGTATGTTCATATACCAAATCCATTGATATATTTAATAATTTCTTAATATTTTAATTCGTATATAGGGTGTCTTATGGCAATGCGATTCCTCATTGTGTTTCAAACAACGTGAAAAATGGAATGTGAGGTGGGGAAGAAGTGCTGGTATCAATATTTGCAGAGATACAAGATGTCTAAAATCCTCAATACCAATATACAACTTATATATACATATATAAATATGTTCGGATATATAAATATACATATATAGGTATATAATATATAATAAAATATAATATACAAATTATACACCACATTTAATGGGTTGCAGAAGTATAAAAAAGAGTAAAATACTTAAAAATTATCAACTATATATGTCATTGAAAAAGTAAATGACTTGGGTCCTCTCATAACAAACACCACTATAAGTTTAAATGTAGTTAAACTTCCTATTACAATTAAGGTATCGATAACTACAAAACTAAAAAAAATATATAATAAAGAAAAATCTATGAATATAGTTTCAAAGCTTGTTAATTGAATAGCTATCTATACAACCAAAAATCTTTAATAATTAGCAAATATTTAGACAGACCAAAATCTTTATATTGTGGCTATAACGAATACTCTTAGAAAATTTATGGATACCCAAAACTATAGTAAATACAAAAATATATCTAATGTATATCTGACTTACTTCGGTCTCTTACTTCGGCGGCATAATCTAATCCCCTATTCAATGAGTGAATTAGATGCATCCTTTCTTCTTTTATGAAAATATGATTGACAAAATGCATTACTCAGCGCAAAATTTACAATTATAATATAACACCTACTACCCTCTGTCAGGAGCAAAGGACTGGAAGGAAAAGAGTGAATTTTTATGTAAACTCTTCTTTTGAAATTGCAACTACAAAACTTTCGAGAGTGTACTTATATCTATGTTCTCATAATGACTGTTGTATCTTTCATGCAGAAGTTTCCAGATAGTTTTTATAGGCTAACAGTTTTAAGAGCAGATATTAAAACCGACCAATAAGTGATCATTGTTGTTTTTCATAATATCGTAAAAGCAAAAATACTGATATATGCACATCTTGATCTCAATCTACTGACGATGATAAAAGCAATTATAAAAGAAGTATAAGCAAATTTGAAAGAGTTCAACTTTAGAAGGTACATGCCCAGCACGTAAGTTTCTTAAAAGATCAGACCTCAATAGATGTTTGTAATAAAGGAAATTGGGTGATCTTTTTGGACTGCAATTAAAATTAAAAACATTTATTATATTTATCTTTTTCATTCATATTGATTAAAATCTCATCCCAAATCCCTTGCATCCCAAGTTTATATTTTTAGAAATCAAAGCTTCTTAAAATCAGGCCTCAATAGATGTTTGTAATAAAGGAAATTGTGTGATCTTTTTGGACTGCAATTAAAATTAAAAACATTTATTATATTTATCTTTTTCATTCATATTGATTAAAATCTCATCCCAAATCCCTTGCATCCCAAGTTTATATTTTTAGAAATCAAAGCTTCTTAAAAGATCAGGCCTCAATAGATGTTTGTAATAAAGGAAATTGTGTGATCTTTTTGGACTGCAATTAAAATTAAAAACATTTATTATATTTATCTTTTTCATTCATATTGATTAAAATCTCATCCCAAATCCCTAGTATCCCAAGTCTATATTTTTAGGAATCAAATATAATTAGTTATTATAAATTAAAAAGCATCGCAATTCCCCCTATAACACGATAGATTAGTTCCGTGTTATAGAAAACACCTTGTACGAGAATGTAATATAGGGAAGATACGTGTTATACAAGGGACATGAAATCGCGTAAATGAAAACGTGTGGTAAAAGTATCGTGTTATAGGTGGAATTACTGTATTATGTTATTGTCTACATCAATATTAATATAGCTATTGACGGCGATTAGGTAAAAAAGAATAAATTACTTGCTATATACAATACTTAGGTTAGATAGTTATAATAGATTTTATAATATTTTATAAAATCATGATAATTGATATTAAAGACGATTTAAAAAAAAATTTTTTTTATAACCATTTTCTACTCTAAATGTCGAGACCATTTTTGAACTGAAAAATAATACCATCCGCAAATTATCTGCAACGTAAGGAAATATGACGACTTACTCATTGATAAATGGAAAAGGTAAGCTAGTTTCTTTTTTAAACAAATATTGAAATAAATTCTATACATGAAAATATTTGAAATACATTTGAAATTATTAATCAATTGAGATTAGACATTATGTTTTCTTTGGCATGGATTGACCGCGCTGCTTCGTGCGGCAACCAAAAACATAAAAGTTCAGGCGAAACACATGAAAACATATGTTTTTCTCGTAAGACAAAACTAGATACAACTGCAGATACTGTGAGAGCAGACAATCACTCTGAGATATTTCACTTAGCAAATCTGGTGAGGTATGCGATACGCGATATGCCAGAGAACTCAGGCAGTTGAAAATTTCTGTTGGTCGTCGTCGGAGGCGAAATATTCGCGCTGTGGAAAGTGTCACGTAATTCAGTTGTTGTTATTATTTTAGTATTGATATTTGTATCTTATAAACAATTTTAATGTGTGTGAATCAAAAACAAAACCAAAATATATTTGCAGAAAATATATTGAAAAAGAATTTCGAAGAATTTTAAATAATTCAAACGATAAAAAATTTATACATAGTATATATGTTGGCTAATTTGAAAGATATATAAGTTTGTATGTAAAAACAACTAATTTCGTGAACTCAAATTTTTCAAGCAATTAAAACTTTTATATAACAAAAGAAGTATGTGATATTATTTTTAAAACATCTGAAAGTGTTGTTTACATATGGAAAATAAGTAAAACTTAAAAGAAATACGCGAATGTCAAAGATACTCACAAAGTGCTTCACAATTTGTAAAAGTCAATCAACGCCCTCACTTTAGACTGATGCGCAAGAAAACATTATTGTAGATCACCACTTGAGTACTTAAAGATCGTTCTATTTTGTATAATTTATGTATATAAATCAGCTGCAGTTTCGCTAAATTGCGGTCAATCATACAAGGCAGAATCAAGTTAATTTCGTTGCGAAACAATAAGACCTATTGATCATTTCCTTGTTCAGTGTCTGTGAAACCCTTCAAAATTGTAATTAAATCAGCATTTCAGCCGCAGTTCTAATTTGTGAAAGAACCTATAAATGAATTCTAAAAATAAGAACATAAATAAAAATCAGATACCGTAGAAAATAGAAGTGGGAAATTCTCGTTCGATTGTGTGCAAAGCAACAGAAACACAGCAAAAAATATTCAGAAATGTTTTCTGATTATTTTCTTCCCTGTGCGCTTCATTGAAATAAACAATAATTCATCTGGCATAACGCCAGCGGTTAAATGTTGATCTTCAATATGACTCCCAGCCATTCCCAGCACAAATTTTGACATTTGAAGAAACGTTGGGAGCTAATCCAAATAGTTTTGTACAATCAAAAAAAAATACAAATAATGCAAATCGAGAAACAACAAAACAATAATTTACAAAATATATACAACAGGTGGACTAAAAATACTCGAATAAATAAAGTATTTAAGATTTTATAGTAAGACAAAAATACATTGATATTGGCTAAAATAAGCAACGTTGACTAGCAAATTCGCAGGTTGATAAATAGCACAGCTGACGCTTCGGTACTGATTCATGCACTTAGAAAACCATTTCACGAAAGAAAGCAAAGGCAAATTAGCACAGAGATTGGCAGTCCACTTGTCGTACAAGTTCAAGCAGCAGACGTCATCACATATACGAATACACAATGTCGGATTTGTTTATGGATATGCATCACCGACGCTTAAATAGAGCAGCTGCTGCCAAGGAAGCAACAAGTTTCAACAGCTGCATGAGCAATGCGAGCAATGCCAGCAAATCCACAAATAGCAGCTATAATTCCCATGCGGACAACGATTTATTAAATGATGATGAAGATCTATTTGACAATATTTTGAGTCTGAAACTAAAGAAGCCAAAAAACTGGAAATGGGAACTGAGCACCTCACGTTCCTGTTCAAACATTGCACTGCCACGAATCTTACTTTACGATCACAAAGGTAAATTACTTGTCGATGCCAACAGTCAGACTGAACAGGTGTTCAAACAGCAAGAAACTCCACAATCCAAAAACGGGCATGAAACACGCAAGCGAGCAAGTAGAGCTAGTAAAGCAGCAACCACAAATCTGACGCACAGTATGAGCCAAATTCTGAACAGTGACTTTAATGAGCTACAAATTGGAGAAGTGACACCATCAACTGAATCAAATAGTCTTATACATACTGTGCACAGCTTATCACCAGCTACAACAATACGCTCTGCAATCGATTTCTATACCAATGATTTGCCGGATTATAAATTTGAGAGACGCTCCAGTTCTTTGAAAGGTGTACGTTTTCAAGTCGACGATGCGAAGTCTGCAACAAGTAATAGTTTTCACATTGTTGATCTACCAACACCGCCTTCAACTACTACCACAGGCACAACACCGTCGTCCTCATCTCCGTCGGGACCCAGAGAAAAGAAACGTTATCGTCGCTCACATAGCACAGGTCGTCCAAATACAAAGCCGTCATCTATTCTAGAACGCTTCAGTATGAGTAAAGGACGCTTCTCCTCACCTGAATATGCAGATGAGCATGAAATCAAGCATTCACCACGTTATTACTTGAGCACAAGCAAGGCTGGTACTTTGGTGGTGCAAGAGGATAGCTTCAGTCGTTATCGTCGTCGTCGGAAACCCAAAAACTCCTCGAGTGAAAATATGCTAGATGTGCTTTCACCCAAAAGTAGCACAACAAATTCCCTCAAAACGCTTAATACACTGAATCCACCAATGCAAGCTAAGTTGAAGCTATGTGCGGAACCACAAACTGGCAGCCTACAAGATGTTGCAGAACTACAAGAGAAAATTAGAAAAAAGTCTTTGCCTATAAGAAGGTATCGTAGTGATGGTAATATATTACTACAAAAACAATTATCAACATCAGAGGATGAAGAGGATGATTCTAAACGCAACCGAACAAAATATCGAAAGCAAAGCAACAAAAGAGGTTGGTGGCGGAAAATTGATTATGTTTCAGATACTTTAAAAAAAAAATTTATTATTTTTTTCCATTAGGTTTAGTAACAATTGATTCAGACAATGGAGTGATACATTCAGCTGAAAGAATGCATGAGAGATGACTTAGAACTAAAAAATAATAATAATCTTTTTTGAAAAAAATACATGTGATTTATGGCAGTGTTTCTCGACCCGAAACGTACTGAAGACTGTGGCAATGTTTAATGTGTTTTACAAGAACCGGTACCAATATCTTCCTTAAATTAAATTATATTGTTAGAGCAAAAATTTCAATATTGCAATGTGGCAATGTCACAGATACGTAACGGTCCTACGGTTGATAAACACTGTTATATACTGTATAATAGAACCTAGAAGTACTATTATATGTTGCCTTGGCTGTAAATAAAAAAATTAATTTTGGAAAGTTTATTTTAAAAATTTTATTTCAATGTACCTTTCTAAAGAAACAAATCCTTGAAATTAATGGCATTTTCATTATATAGTATAATTTAAAGTCTTTTGTATATATAATTTGCATTATAGCAGTTTAAATTATGTAGAAGACAATTTCATATGATTCATAACATAATAACATGCCCAAATACTTAAAAGAACGTTAAATTATTTGAAATTGTACTAAAATAAGATTAATTAATTAATACTTAATAAATAAATTAATTAATTATTAATCATTAATAATGATTCCATTGATAAACTGAAGCAGTCATGATATTTTTGTTTATTTCAGTCTTAGATCTCTTAATAGTAATATAACTTAATATAATTCTTCTCAATTTCATAGTTTCTTATAAAACAAATATAGTCATCAACTCTTCTAATGTGTTTTAATGTCTATATCTTAGTAATCGATTTTTTAATATTTTTTCAATATATGCACTTCATCCTCTTTGGTGCTACAGCTCATAGTTATCTCTGATCTATGACTACTCTTTTCACATTGCAATTCTTTATTGACTGCATTTTAAGATAATCAACTCGTATAAATTCGAAATTATTCCTAGTAGATAAATTGATCTAAGCCTAACACAGACTTATAGTCAGATTTGTCAGGATGGATTTGATATTGGAAGTATCCTTACCAAATCTCTCTCTTTTGTGTCTCTTTTCTATAACATATATATCAACAGGAGTTGGTTTCTAACTCTTGAAGTAACGTACATGCATAACGAAGGTGTGAGAGTAGCGATTGCAGTCTGAGTTCATACCCTACCGTGGTCATCGTACTCCATGTAAAAAGTTGATATCGAAGCACCAAACATGAATATAATATGAGTGGTATATTATATATATATGATTTTGTGACGACAAAGAGATATACCATTATATTTGATCACTGCTCAACAAAGCAAAAACTGTTTAATGTTAATATATGTTTCCAAAGTATTATTTAATTTTCTCTTACAATAATAATATTTTCAAATATTTGTGAAAGTAATAATGTACTAAATACGTTGACTATTAGCAGACTCTAGTACTAATTCTTAAAAATGATATAATTTATGAAAAAGAATTCTAATTCTAATTATCTGTAGAATTATAACCGTATATCTCTGTCAAAACAGTGTACTTTAAGTATATAATTTTAGGTTCGTATTTATTTTATTTTATTTTTTTAAATAAATGCTTAATAGTAATTTGTTATGTTTAAACATTTAATAGTTTTATAAATTTAGATAATAAATATAACAAAAATTACCGTAGTAATAAATTATATGCCAAAAAGTATGCAGTCGAAAAATAAGTACACTGTAAAAAATCTAAACAAAGTTAAAGTAAATTATAATTTTTATCTCATAACAAATCTAAATAAAAAAAATAAATATTCCTAACATAGATGCTAAAAATAGATGTGTTTAATGCTTTTATTACCAAAAGTTACACTGCGAAATGAAAAAAATCAATATATTATTCCCTATCCTCCCTCCCTTTACTATTAAAGAACTGTTTACGAAAAACATTCCTATTTTTACTTAACATGATCACTCAACCAGAGAGACGGTCTTCCCGGAAATTTTTTCTCTTTCTGGGTCTCCAAAAATTTTTTTAACTGTAGCATCTCCACAACATGAGTAAACCAGTGAGGCTGTTGGTGCTAGACTCGCTGAATGATGCCAATGACATGATAAAACTCATACAACACTCTGTTTCTTTGAAACCAGTAATCTCAGACAGGCGGTAGATTGCGATACTTATTGTAAATAATAAGCAGTGTTGAATGTAATTGAATCCATTAATAGAACAACAGTTGTCATTATAAAATTGAGGAACCCATGCATTGAATTTGAATTTAATCACCACAAACATAAATAGTTATTTAAATTCCAAAAGGAAAATAATGATCATCTACCATATCACTGTCCGGTACTGGCTTCGAGTATTCTTGTCTCCATTGACGCCTAGCTCCTTAAATGTATATCCACGAGTCTCATGGTAGACTTTCAAGGTAAAAAAGGAAAAGAACGCTCATCTACCATTCCAATGTCCGATACTGGCCCTGAGTGCTCTAGTCGCCTTTGACGCCCAGCTCCTTAAATGTATATCCACGAGTCTCATGGTAGGCTTTCAAGGTATTCTCCATTTTTCATTATTATTTTTAATACTTCTGTTATTATTATTCCAGTTATTTTCTATTCTTAAGCGAGTTTTAAAATTTCTTTGTGTTATCGCAAAGCCAAATGGTTGACTGAAAGGATAGAAATTAGTTCAATAAAGCTTGTTTTAAATATAAAAAATTAAAATCACCCCAATATTTAATTATATACTTATATTACACTCTATACCGATATATAAGCCAACCTAACCTATATACCAATCTATATACTAATGCACATACATACATACATTTGTTAGTATGATTAAATTGTTAAATATTAAGGTTCAGTACGAATTTGATATCGAACTAGTAATACAATTTTCAGCAACAATCGATTATCCTTAACCAGTAAGGATTGACATTGCCTGACTGAAATGCAATTAAATGCAAGGCATCAGTGTAATTTGCATTTAACTTGAACATAATTAAACATCATCACATCACACGTCACACTTCTATGTCCGCTGCTTAAATTATATATGTATAAGCGTTGGCATTTCGCAGCCTTAGATGAGCTCAGATAATATCAATCTTAATTGACAATTTTGATTCGTAACTTAATTACGTTAATACACAATCAGTAGTAAAATGAAAATGATGTATTCAATTGGAATTGAATTTTAAATAATACGTAAGTGCATATCTTTTAACAAGTCATATATGTTTGAAGCTGATATGTGCACTTTGGAATATTGGAATACAACTAATCACAATCTTAAGCTCACATTAATCCTAAGTGCACATTAATCCCATTTTAGTTACAACTGCATCAAAGAATTAACAAATATTCAAAACTGTGAAGAGAAGAAACTGTGAGAAATTTCAGCTCCCAAAAAACTTAATCTCCAGCTTCTTAATTAGATGAACTCCGTTTAGCTAGTACTTAAACCACCTTTCAAAGATAAGACTGAAGGATACTGGTATAGGTAAATATATAATTTATTTTTTTGTGAACTAATCAAGATGATGTATAAAGTAAAAGAAGATATAATACTAATAGTAAAATACCTATACATCATCTTATATTATGATAATGAGATGGATGAGAATGATGGATGATATATGAGAAGTAGAAATTCTCAGAAAACGAATGCAGTTCTTTTATTTGACTGCCATTACATTAGGTCTAGGGTCTTTAAAAAAAATAATTAAATTTATTAAAAACCAACATATTATTTTATGACAAAAATCTATTTTAAATAGATAAGGGGTTAGAGAGATTAGAGGGTTAGAGAAAAATTTTAAATTCAAAAATTTTTTAGTTTTGCTTCTCCTAGGAGTTAAAGGAATTTATATACATATATATATGTATTTAATTTTTGAACCGCAAGTGTTACTATTTGTATTGCACTCTATCAAATTTGAACCGGGGACTAGCGTATAAGAACGCAAACCTAAATTACACTTAATTTGAACTCTATGAAATTTGAACCGAGGACTAGCGTGTAAAAATACAAACCTAACCAACATTTAATTTGCGATATTCGTACTAAAAATGTATACAGCTTCTGTTGTTTATTAAAAAAAATCTTATATATTCAAGGTTATTGAATCCACGGTTCAACATTGATAGGGTTAAATTTCTCATACTTGCAATCTAGAAGTATATACTTCCAAAGACCATCGGTGATAAATATTTGGCGGTATCTAATAGAGCTGTATGGTTCACGAATTCACTAAAAGAAATTTAAAAAATTGTGTGGATTTGAAAATTTTCTCGGTATTAAAATCTATAATATAAAAAATTTGCTATCTAAAGTTTTTATTAATTTTAGTTAAACACTGAAGTCTAAATATATTTACGCTCATCTATTCTGGATATGACACATACATCCAACTCTTCAGTATAACGCAGTACATGGAATAAAACGGGATTTTCAGACTTCACCCACCAATCCTGATTACTTAAAAAAACAAACAACTTATATGTTTACATATGAAATTTATTTGATATAATAAAAAACTCTTAGAGTCGACTTCACAGTCGTCATTTATGTCTCAGTACTGACTTAAGTCATGCTTAAGTCATCAACTTTGTTAGTTTTATTCATACTGAAATCAGTTTTGAAACTTAAGTTACGATTGATAACGCATCAAATCTGTTCACAATTTTTAAATTTCAAAAATATAAAAAAAAAAAAATTTTTGTTTATAAACGTCTAGGTCTTTCTGACTACACTGAACTGAAAGCCAAAATATTTTCAAGATGTTACTAGTTTCGAATAACATGAACCGATACGCAATCTTGAATTGTTCTTATCACATCTAATCAGAAGTATATTGTTTGTTTTTTATTTTTTAATTAAATTACAAAAGAAAAGAGTGCTTTGACATGATTAAATAATCTTCAACAATAAATTATCTTCGAAAGAGAGCATTTGTGCAATTTTGAAAATGAAAAGCAAATCTCCCTTGATACTGATAAGCCTCTTAAGCACCTTTTGCATGGAATAGCCATTGCTGGACAATTTAGTATCAATCAAAGCTCTTACCATTTGAGTAGCAATAAACTCGGTATTATTCGCAATATCAAATAAACAAAATGAAATTTAATTATTTTTCATTTAATTTTCTTATCATTTGCTTAATCGCACTTAATGCCTTTATGACATCAACAAATGCGACTAAAGTGATTTTCTACGGCAATAAAACAAGAGTGGATGAGAGTAACATTCTGGTCTTACGCCCATCGATGTGTCGTTTTGTTTTAGATCATGCTGGCCGGTGTCGTAGGGTAAGTTTAAAAAATGAATTTATTTTAAAATTTCTAAAAATAAAAAGTTTTGTGAGATATTAAAAAAGAATTCTTTCCACAGAGGGGCTAATTTGGAACCAAGCTAAATCGGGACTTCGATCACCGATCACCAGTGACCAATCATTATAGTGCAAATATTTACTTGTAGACTGACTGAAGGAAAAACTGACAACTTAAAGCTTTTTGGAAAGTGGATGACAAAATGGTATTTTACCAATCTTATCAATACTAGGAATTCCTAAATTATTAATTATTAACCATTTACGATGTTGACAAAATATAAACAAATAAAACGTCAATTATAATTGCTAAAATTAAAAAATCAAAGTACAACAAAATTTTTTATAAATAAAATTTGTTAAAAAAATACAAAACAAAAGTGGAAAAATTCATTGACGCAGTGAGGAGACGGCGTAAGTTAGTCATACTCCGAATTAAATGTGATATATTTTTAGTGATACTCGCACATCGTGTGTTTACCAACGTCACGATGAGACGTCGCTGAATTCCATTCATAAACGCTGAGCAGTACAAGTCGGCTTTGGTACTGCAAATATTGGCTAAACCAATCAAACTGCAAACAAGATATCATTAGACCCTAATTTATGCTTTCACCGATTCGAAGTTGAACTTTGAAACCCGCAATTGGAAAATTTCGTCACAAGATTGATAAGTTGTGAAATTATACGAGTACACACCAGCCCAATTGCAAATTATTTACTTTTTTCATTAAAAATCAAACAATTCATTTTATTTAAAGTCAATGTAAGTAAACTGCTTTATACGTGCAGAAAGTGTGTTACCATTAGTCACCTAAATCGAGAAGAGTGACGCCTATTGTTAGCCCGATACTCCTTTATATGTCGCATTCGGTTAGAGAGGACGGCTGAGCGCGATACTGGTGTATCGTCTAATAAAGTGAGTCTAATAAAGTTTTATGACACTCTCGACGTCATCGCAGATACGACCTTATTTACTCTTGCCATGAGTCTCGGACTGAAAAACTTCTTGGATAAAACTTTGGGTGCTAGAGGCAAGAAAAGCCTATGAAAGCTTTTTGTTTACCTTTGCAGTAAAAAACAATTAAAAAACAAATGCTGTGATTGTGGAATTTTCGTGAATTTTTCAGTGTTATTTGTGTGGCAGCAAGTCGATTGCAGTGAATGTAAAAGATAAGATATCACTACAGGGTGTTTTGTTGACATAGAGCTTATGGCAGATATTAGATTAAAATTCTGAGAACTTTTAAGTCCATAATTAGTTATTTGATTATTTGGTATTAGTATAATAATATAAGGTGAGTATGTGGTGCAAATAAAGCTTAGTTATTAACAATAATGCAAAATGTGTGTAGGAGAATATTTTTGAGTGATTTTTTATACAGAAAGTTTATTTAAAATAAAAACTTTATTAGTATACCTTATGTGAACCTTAAAACAATTATTATTGATTACATTCTTATTTTTTTCACAATATCAAAGTCACTAGAGTCTATAAATGAAGCAGGCAGATATAATGTATTTAGATACATGTATCTGCATTAACTATCAATTTGTATTTATATTTTTTTAAGGGTAGATGACAAACAAGTCACTAAATGAGACTTAAACCACCTCTAAGGAATGAATTGTGAAGATTTCAACCATTAACCATGATAATCATGGTGCTGATAATCTCATAACAGTGATCGTAGGAAATTTAGATGAAGAGTACTTCCACATTTGAGTTCATCTCAGTTAGAAATCAGGGATATTCATTACTAATAATTAGAATTTCAATATGAAAATTACTTATCGTAAGTAAACAAATTAAAGATGATTTTAGAATTCTACATCCTAAACAAAAAATTATTATTACTATTATATTTTTGTTTTTTTCTTTTCTAGCTTAAGAAGCATATAGCTTTACATATTATACCACCTTTTTTTTCCTCGATTTTGTTATTCTTCACTCCAAATTAAACTTAATTTTGGGTTAGATATATTGGAATTGTCCATCAAGCCTTCGCGGTAGAGAACTTTAACTTCCAACAAAGCCTGTTATATATCTTAGTTCAGCTATTAGGAGGATCTGGGAAATTTATTAGACCATGCTTTGTTTTCAATAAATGTTTACCTTCGATAAGTTCATTTAAATCACCTCCTTCTTCGAGGACTTCAAAGGTTTTAAATATGGATTTAAATGAAACGCTGTTTTCACAGTAAATAAAGAACAGATTAAGTGCAGCAGATGCATTTCATAAACAGTTTATTGATACAAAAAAACTGAAGATGTATGGAGTTTTTGAAAACGTTGAAAATGTTTAGCATGGAGGACAAAATTTAATTTTTCGAGTCTTAATAATTACGGGTGTCTACTATATTTGCTTTTTTTTAATTTTCAATGGTTCTTATTCAAACTTATAGCTTATTCAAACTTATATAAAAAGATATGGGTTTTCTTAAGCAAAATACACTTATATCGTATATATAATCCTTTTGGTAATTTTATAAATTTTATTACAATAAGCAACATATAATGGCAAACACCCTGTAAATAGTTTATAATTACACTCTTAAGTCATCATTTATCATTCTATTATCAATGGCGTGTCGATATCATTCGGGGTTGCATGAGGAACACAACACTCTCGTCTTAAGTAGTACCACAAGAATTCGTTTCTAATCAGTTAAATACCGGCATTTGAACGAAGCAGTTAAGGTAGCAGTAATCTATTTAGCGTATTTCTCGGTTAATTAGAACAACGCGTATATTATCAACAAACGTTTTCGTAATTGAAAAGTGAACACAATCGTAGCACAATCGTAAAGCGATTTAAATTATTATCAAGCAAATCTACATATTACAGACATTCCGAGAACCCAAATATGGCATTGAAATTTACTAGAATAGTATTTTGCACGCTCTTCATGTTGGCTTTAGTAGTATTTTGTGCGCCCAATGAAACCGAATCCAGACGCGTCATATTCCACGCTCCACGTCAAATGCAAATCTTTACCGGGCAGATTCTATCGTCACGCGCTAAGGAAAAACCCTGTGAAAAATGTCATATGAGAGACCATCGCGGCAGGTGTCGACGTATTTTATCATTTAATGCAGGTAAGTGTGATTTCTTAAGAATAATTATATAATAATATTTCAAATTATAATTGTATAAAATAAAACAAAAGTAAAAATAGAAGAATAATATTATAAAAATAAAATAAAGTAAAAATAACATTAATAAAAAATAATAAAATATTATATATGCACAATTGAATTATAATATAACTTATAATAATGAAAGTGAAGTACTATGGTCAAGAGCAGGCACGACAGATATAAACATCGAGATTCGAAGACCAAAATTCTATAGGATTGACCTCTAACCTCGAAAGCCGTTAGGCCACTTCGCAAATATGGCCCTACAATGCATTCGCAAGGCAGTGGACGCAGAGGACAACCAAAAACTACATGGAGGCGTTCCACCTTAAATGTGATCAACTTGCACACCAGCAATAAAAATTACAACCGCATAAGTGAAATAAGGGGAATCGCTTATGCCCAGTATGAAGGCAGCTCAAAATCAATTGACGTCGAGCAAAGCTATAATAATAATAATTTAATTATTTATTTTTATTTAATTACAATTTATTTCATTTTTTTTTTTTGTTTTGTTTTTGTTATAAAATTAATTAATCAATTAATTTTCACTTACAATATTTTCCTTTCAGATGGTATTAAGTGCTGATACTCAATTAAGTAGTCCGCTTACGACCAAACGAGAATCTCGTGCTGATTTGAATACGTCATTTCGCCCATCACCAAACAACATGAATGCATACCATATTATCTACATTTGCGTATTATTTATTTTTAGTTTTAAGTATAAAAAGTTTTTTTTTTTTTAATTAAACTTAAATTTATTTCCAATTATTTATCAAGTAAACACACACTTCAAAATTTACTATTTACTCGTTTTGCACAATTCGTTATTCTTTATAATCTGCACCACACATTTTGCACTGTGATTTTATTAATTGATATTTTATTTATAAACAAACTATTGTAAAATAAAATGTAATAAAAAGATTTTAAATCAAATAAATTGTTTACTCTTTAAATAATTAAGAAGAATCCATAAAAGAATTTTATTACTCATTGAAAGCTCAGGAATTAATCTACTGCACACACGTCTGAATTATTTATGTGGGCAAAAAGGCTTAAGTGAATAAATGGCCATAAATGCTATTTTGAAATATTTAATAACTTTTACCTTTCAAATGTGTAAATAGAATAAGAGATTTGAGATTTAGATATCCCAAAACAAATAAATATTACTTCATTTGTTGAAAACTCTACAGAGATCCTTCAATTTGTGAAGGAATAAATATCTCAAATGCTTGTTTTCTAATTGCTGAGGTTTATAAAGATTTGATTAATTCAATTTAAATCTATTTGTCAGTTTAGTTATTGTTATAATAAATAAACACAAATGATTTCCTGTACACATTCATAAGTAAATAGCAAAGTTGTTCAATTTATAAATTGCAGAAATTACCTTCAGTACACTTTGATTGGTTAGCTGCAAAGACTGAACCCAGATACCGTTCCGCCTTACATAAGTAACAATTATTTGCCGTTTTAATACTATTTTTCAACTATTTAAGTATATATATATATATATATATATATATATATTTAATCCTTTAACTTCTAGGAGGAGCATAGAGCCTCAACGAATATCTTCCACTCGGTACGATTGATGACCAATAGCTTCAACTCTCCCCAGCTTTTCCACATGTGTAACATTTCCATGTCGATTTGCTTTCTCCAGGTGTGAGCAGATCTGCCCCTTCTTCTGCTACCCATCGGGTTCCTCTCAATCGCTATTCTTGTGATGTCACCAGTCGGTCTACGCAAAGTGTGGCCGACCCATTCCCATTTGCGTTTTTTGATATCACTACTTATAGGAGTTTGTTGAGTTAACGATCACAGACGTTCATTTGGAATTGCATTTGGCCAGAATACTTTAACGATTTTGCGTAATGATTGATTTATGAAAACTTGTAGTGCCTTGATGGTGTTTGCCGCAGTATTCTTGGATTTACATCTATTTTAATACCATTTACGAGGAATTCACTATAGATGAACTAACAACACTGAACCGCAGATACTACTCCGCCTTACATAAGTAATAATTATTTGCCGTTTTAATAGTATTTTCCCACTATTTTAATACCTTTTAACAGGAATCTCCTAGAGATTAATTAAATCCATCAAGTTGTGTTTGTTTAGTGTAACATATTTTTTGTTTTAACTGATAGATAATACTGATAGACAATCCGACAGATCGTCAAGAAAGTACTTTCCTTAAAATCTGTTGATACTGTTATTCGAGGTTAGACAGTCTTAGAGAAACTTCTTCGTTCAGGTTTTCATAACTTTTAGGAAGTTAATCGATTTGATGTATATAGCTGAGTGCGCATTTGAATAAATGTCATCATATGATGACTCAGTAATCAACATCTGATTGTTTATAAAATACTTCAATGCTTCACAGTCAATTAAATTAAAGATCCATTCCGTCAAATACTGAATGAAGTTTCTACGGTTAAAGCAAGGACAGAGAAGTTCTCTAATATATATCACATATTATTCAAGTTGTGAAAAAGTGTTGGGTATATTATAATATAACTGTAAGTTATAGTTATTATTATTGTTTAATTTATGTATATTAAATTACTAAAAATAATAAAGCAACTTCAAAAAAATGTTAGTAATGACGGTGATTATGCAAATAATTTACAACGCGATAATTTTTAAACTCTTATCGGACGCTGAGGAATTTTATAAAAGAGAGTATTGTTTCAAAAAAATATAAAAATAAAATTCGTTTATTCATTAATTTATGACTATGCAGAAAATATGGACTAAATGTATTATTTGGCTACATATACATCAGTTTATAAATAATTGAAAAAAGTAATTACAAAAAATTATGTTCTCTCACTATTATTACAAGTTATGGGTTAGTAGAAAAATATTATCTGAAAAACAATATAGAACCTTTAACAAATCTTGAAGGTATTTTAAAATTGTATTGTCTCTATAGAAAGCAACGTTTTAATTTATAATCTGTTATATTAACATACAGTAACGATATTATTTTAACTATTCGGCATCTAATAAAAGAGTTTGATTAGTTTATCTTTGTATTGAAGGATTTACGTTTGCATAATACTCCACCTCCTTTAGTTACAAACAAAAGTAATTATTACTAAACAATCTCATATTATCTATATAGGGATTTACACAATTTGCATTTATCAGTAAAAAAGCCGCATAGACTCTATAATTTATTTTTGCTATTTATAGCATTTATAGCCCTATATAATACCACAAGTTTTTAATATAGACTTATATTCGTTTAACTACTCTTGAAATTTTTTCTACCTTTACTCAACGATCAGTTACACTATGCTCGATTTTCTCACAGAGCAATTAAAGGTCAAACTCTGCTTTGATTCCACCTTTTTTGGGTATCTAATTGTCCATTCCATAATCACCGTATTTTTCAGTTTGTTCTGTCACTCATATATATAATATAAAAAAGACATATTATCACTAACATCACCAACTCAACACCGCAAAGCTTAAAGAATTCGGTCTCCGCTGAGGCAAGTATTCTTTATGAATCAGAAAAGAAAAGGGCATTTAAGCTACCAAAAGCCTAGAAATATACTTTTGATTGGGGTAAGAGATGTGAGAGCATTAACGAAGAGATTACGAAGGCGTGTGTGATATGAAGATACGGTAGTATAGAATCTGATGTGTAAGTAGACATAGCTAAGAAAAAGGAAGTTTTATGTACTTTATTATCACTTTATTGATTTTTTGTATATATTTGTGTCCTTATCATATCTTTTATTCATAAATATATACGACACTGCTAGCATTTTCAAACAACTTATTGGGTCTAAAATATGGCACACTTTTGGCGACCTAGTTATTCCTACTTGTCTATCTACATGTCATAAAAATGCCAAAAAAATTTTATTTATATAATAAATAAAAATAAATTTATATAAAACATAAACAATTGTATGAGTAATACAATATAAAAGTAGCACCTCCGATATCTGAAATCTATTCTACACATGACACGTGCATTCTTTTAACTTTTTTACTTAAATTTTAATAATTTCATGACTCAGTCAATAGAACTAATTTGTATTTCTAATAATTTTTCAGATCTTACAAGAATTTTTATCATTTTACGTGATAAATTCGAATGGTTTCTACGGGTATTTTTCTTTATTTGGAGGAAACCGGGTGCTTTAGTCACAAATGTTTACTAATTTGTTATATACAATATACGTCATATGGTTGAGCGTATGTATGACTCCAAATTAAATAAACTGCACTTCTTTTGTGAATGAATGTGGTTACTAATTGCAACAAAACATATATAGTGTTAAGAACATTATATAGCAACCAACTTACTGAAAATTTTATCTGAACATTTTTTTTTAATAGCTGAATGATGCAATGCATGACACTATTTTTAATTACATTGCCATTTCCAAGTCTTAAAACTTCAAGACTTCAGAAATGTATTTAAGTTTTTTACCATGTCATCACAGTCATCATAGCAATACAGTCCATTTAAAAGCTAATCGTGTTTTGCAACACCCTTCAATTATTTTCTATTCTTTGCCTTTACATTCGATTGATATTCATATGGTAGTTGTGAAATTGTGTCGCAGACTATTACCCATCTGTTTCTTGGTCTTCTTCAGTTTTAATATTGTTCTCAATTCACTCACCAATACTCGTACCGGTCTCGTTTCTTTAGTCATACGGATAATCTGCTTTGCTATGCCAAGCGTCAGTTTCCAATCCATATCACATAATCAATGCTTTCGAAGCATAATCAAAAAAATTATTAAATAAATTGGGACTCATATTTACTTACTACTTACTAATTTGCCAAGATGCTGAAAGAAGAATAACACTTCCTCAATCTTTTTATTAATGCTTAACTAAACAATATATCCAGCCCTGGAACTTCAACCACTAGTTGAAGGGTTTGCCTTGATTAAACTGATCTCGAGATTGCCTTTTTAGACAAAGAAATGGGGTATATCTTAATTGGCTTTATGTTGTTAGCTCGCTGACTTAACAAACACATGTCATCAGCGTGTTGCATTTCCACTAGATTTACTAGCAGGGATTGTTGTGTTCCTTGTCGATCAGCAACGTCATATAAGAGTTATATAAGTCACTTTAAAAAACAAGGCTGATAAGATAGTGCCTTGTCTGATAATAATATACCATCGAAAGCATATTATTATGAAAGACTTGCTGTGCTTGTAAAATATTCTTTTTGCATCCAATTAAAGATAATAGTCTTGTTTAAAAATTAATTCATTTGAATTCGGATTTCAATTTTTAGGAGATATCTAATATAACACAACTTAAAACAAAAACTTTCAAAGCAAATTAATAAAACTCCAGAAAAAAGTGCAAAAATATAAATCAAGTATGGTTATGGATCAGTTGGCTATTGAACACTGAGTCTCAGTTTGAAATTTGGCAGGGCACGAGTTCAAATCTTGGTACTTGCAGTCTTAAAAAATTATATACAAATAATTAAATACAAGAAATAACTTCTAGACCGCTAATAATGATTATTGTATGGTCAGCCAAAAATTCAATTAATTAAAAATATATAAAAATAATTTTTTTGTAATAGTTCACTATTTTTCGAAACCTCTTTCGTAGATATTTTTATTAATTCTAAATTAAATGTGATACTTACTTCAATATCTGAGATAAATTCCTTTTAATAATATTGTACATCGATCAGTTACTTATTCTCCTAAAACCTTTAACTTTTAATTTCACAACATTTAAGATATGAACTCATAATATGTTTTAATAATAATTTTACCAGTAATTTTACCAATAAAATTTTACCAGTCAAAGGCAAAAAAAAACGTGACTTTTATCATAATTTTTATGAAATAAATTTCAATTCTGCATAGCAACAAATACGCAAAATGTTTAAATCGAATACATACCATTTATATGAAGTTCATTCATACATACGTATGGATATACAAACATCCATTAGCTATTAATTTATAAAAAAAACTGCATTTAAGATAGTGAATCAGAATAATATAGAATAATATATAATATATCCCATAAAAATACGTATTATATATTATTTAAAAAATATTATGGAATTAATAAAACTATTTTTATGTGCATTAAATTTGTGTAGTACAGTAAAACGCTTTGTTATCATAAAAGCTGGCACTAACCTACATCAACAATGTATAGAACAAAAGAATGTATCTATCTTAATATGTGCTATAAATAATTTTAAGTGATTTAAGCGAAATAACAGCTAACAGCTGTTAGCAAAACATGTAGTAAAGATATTTATTCCACAAATAAAACTTAAGTACATTTAAGCATGTGGAACATAATTTATACTTCAAAAATAAAAATCACTGCATAGTTTCAGGCTGTAGTTTGTTTACTCACTATATTTCAGATTATGAACTCATGACATGGGGAACTTTTTTCCTTGGCTTGGTGACAACACGAACGATCGTCAGGAATTGAATATAATTTTGCACCTTTGATTTTTTAGAAATTCTCAAGAAATTTCGTCATTAAAAATAAACACGAATCATGGAATAATTGACCAAAATAGAAATGTAGACAATACGCGCGGAAGCAATTGATATCTTATCTAAGGAATTTATACGTTTACAAATTAAATGTGTAAAGGTTTTATTTAACTATTTGCAAAGCAGTGACGGTAAAGTGTTTAATTGCATTTCTTGTTTATAGTGCCAAATCATCAAATTGAATCATATCTGTTTTATTTTTTAGAATACCAAGAAAAATATGTATGTAATTAATAATAATTGTAACCTTTGATATTTAATGTATAAGAAAATATATTGAAACTTTTATAAAGCATTCAATCAATATTCACGACAGCTAGCAAATACGTAAGTTTTAAGTTCATGGAAATTTAAAAACTTCCCTCATATTTTTTATATTTATTCTTATTAAATTTCAATATTTATATGTATATATATAAATATATATAATAATATAATTAGTAATAATATAATAATAATAATAAACAGCAGCAATAATAAAAAAGAATTAATTTTATATATTATATTTGGGTAGTAACAAAATATTCCAGAGTATGTAAAACATACTGTTAATAACATAACTTCAACAGATTTACAGTTTCTGTTAATGTGCCATGCTATAAAACGTTCATTATACGTTATATGCTATATATTTTTATTTGCGTGCTTATAATATTATTATTCATGTATTATACCTCCGTTTTATCTTTCTAAAGAGTCTATATAAAGTAAATAAAGTAAAGTAAAGCTTATTAGATATTATCCACATATTATACAACTGTTACATGTTTCTAAAGAGTCTGTATTAAGTAATGAGAACTCTTCACTTCTTATTAATACTGGATTGAAAAAGAGATATTTATATTTATATAAAGATTTGAAAGCAATACTGTACTATAAGAAATCATAATGAAAAGAATTTAAGCCATTTTGGTATTGACCAGATTATTGTAACTCACGCATTTTTTAATCCGTATCAGCAACCACAACGACTAATAGAATAAGATCCCGACAAATAAAACTTGTTGTGACTTTCAGTGACTTGTTTTTTTTTGTCTATATTCCTTGATATTTAATTTACATGTACAAGTATGTAAATACAAGTATGTACATGCTGTACCTTGCTTATACTATATTATACAACAAGTAAGAACTACTATTGGCTATTACCTCTTCAGTCAATAAACATTAACCTCATGTAAAAAATGTTGTTCTGCTTGGCAACAATAGATCGAAAAAACTTAATTATAATTAAATCGAATCCATATCGAAATACTGATATCCAAAACTCTTATTAGCTGTATGAAATTATAACCATTATCTCTATACCCATCTAAACATTATTTAAAGAATATAATGTACGAGAAACGTAGGGAGTTCGATTGAAAAAATATATTGTTTTAAAATTCATTTGAAAATTTATGTCTCTTATTCTTTTAAAAAAAAGTTTTTTAAAACTCCATGTATGTTATCTTAAAAAAAATTATTTAAACAAATAATTTCTAAAAACGAATATATAATGAACGATTCTTATATTATATATTTCATAATAAAATGTCAAATTTCTCTAGAAGCTAAGTCGTTCAACATCAATTCTGTCTTTCGCTTACATAAAATAATAGAATATTTATCTTATTATTATTAATTCAAATACCGCCACTGTAAATTTTTATCTTATCTAGAATTTTTGCTATCGATTAGGTGATTCCATCACTTTCGAAGCAACTTATAAAAAAGTCAGATACTTGGTATTTGCAATCAATTTGTAACGGCACGCGAACGACGGACCACTTATTCGAATATATTTTTCAAATATTTTAAATAAAAAAGATATTTACAATTAATATACATATATATATATATAAAAATAAATAACTAAATACTTCAAAATGCAAACAAAATATTTAATGTGCATATTTTTCGTAATCGTCACGTTGTTGAGTAATCTCTGTGCGCCAGTGGAATCCAAAGTGATATTCTACAATAAAAATCCAACAGTACGTACAGGTCAACTCCTGGTAACACATAAACGCTCGAAACCCTGCCCGAAGGGTCAGATGCGAGATCATCGTGAGAGGTGTCGACGTGCTATAATTTTTGGCAAATAATAAAAAATGAACTAAAATAGTTACTAAGCGTAGTTTAAGGAGCCAAATGACAAAGTAAGTCGGAAGTAAGAAATTCTTTTAATTTTACATAACAAATATTTTTGATATGAAAACAGAAAATAAAAATAAAAAATAAAAATCAGTGAAGTTCATAATATAAAAAATATTAATTAACTTTGGTTGCCACATTAAATGAGATTAAATTATTTTGTGATAAGACGGCGGGGTGCTGTAGAATTATTTTGCAATGAGATACTAAGTGAGATATTTGCCAAGTTTTGTTTACTTGAACTAAATGTACTAAGACTTCCAATATATTCCAAATTATTACAAAATCGGACATAATGCAATATATCTCAAGAACTTAAAAGTTTTAACAAAGATAATACACATACAAGTATATTCATAATACTTATTGATTAAGTACTAAGATTTCCAATATATTCCAAATCATTACAAAATCGGACATAATGCAATATATCTGATCAAAAATCAAAAAATTTTTACCAAGATAATTCACATACAAGTATATTCATAATTATTGATTATTTGACATATTGATTATTTGACATATTGATTATGTACTAAGATTTCCAATATATTCCAAATCATTACAAAATCGGACATAATGCAATATATCTCAAGAACTTAAAATCAAGATAATATACATACGAGTATATTCATAATATTTATTGATTATTTGACTTATTGATTATGTAGTAAGATTTCCAATATATTCCAAATCATTACAAAATCGGACATAATGCAATATATCTGATCAGAAATCAAAAGTTTCAACCAAGCTAATGTACACACGAGTATATTATTAATATTTATTGATTATTTGACAACGTTTGGATATTGGTTGTAGTGCTGATGACGATCATAAATATTTCCAATTAATTTTTTTTTAATTTTTATTACAATTTGTAATTTTTTTAAAAAGAAATTTTTTTAACGAATATTTTTGTTCATTTTTACTATTTCCATGCGGTATTTTATTTAATTGCTTTAAGACGTGCTTTGTGAATTTTATAGCTTCAGCAGCTCTCTATATTAAATCACATTGAATTCAAATCGATTTCAAATTTATTGCTCTTAAACTAACACAATTTTGTAATATATATAATATATATACAAAAAACAATCGAATGTGTTTTTTACTCGCAGATGTTTTGTAGAATAATCACTGCAATTCTATCTGAACTGTAAGCAATTATCTTGAATTAAAACTACTTATCAATATGAAATTGCAATTATAAAAAAAACGTGTTATGTTAAATATTTATCAATTTATCTGAATATAGCAAAAAGAAATAAAAATCTAAAAATTATTGACATATCTACTTTCAGTATTAATTAAGCACGTTTATAGTCGGCAAACTTATTGTTGACAAAATTATTTCCTCACTCTTTTTATTTATCAACAAAACTAATTCTCTTCCAGACGATATTTTTGAAGTCCTCATGAATTGTCTTCTATATTTAACTATATTAACACATATTTATGATTTCCGTACAAGCCCCCCTCACATAGTAAAACTCTTCAGCTTTGTTTTTCTTTTTTTTGTTGGGTATCAAATTTTTAAAAATTAAAACCAAAATTATTTGCCCTTAAAAATGTTATCTTTTTATCAAACAATCAAACTCGATTCGAGGTCTCAAACATAATCAACACTCATGCCTTATAGGAAATATTTTTATTACACCCGCCGGTTTTATGGCTGCTCTAAGCACATTGCAAAATTGAATATAATAAAATCAATTATATTTATTTACTATTCTACTATTTTAATGTTTTTTGTTTTTTTCTATTTTCTTACAGAGTCGAGCAATTGAAAGTGCAGGGCACTTCAGTTTATCTGATACAATAAATCGTAATCGATTAAGATAGTGTGTAGCTTAATTTATTAAATTATTTTGTATACATTTTTGTTAAGTATGATGTATGATATATGAAGTACATAACAAGTTAAGTTCGAATTTTTTTATATTTATTTAATTTATTAAAAATAAAATTTTTTGTATAAAACAATCTTACTAAAAATTTTTTAATTATTTTGCACTTAAGTATCGTGTTAATGTTGGGTCTGTCCGAAGAGATAGATTGTCGACTCTGCTTAGAAGCAAACAAAATTTCCAGTCACATTCTCTGTGACTGCCCAGTCTTGATCAATTCTAGGAGGAGGTCACTGGGTCGAGAACTACTGTCTCCTTCTGATATTAGGAGGTCCTCAACGGGTGACATTCTTGTTTTCATTCGGAAGGCGAAATGCCTTCTGCTCGGTTAGGGTCTGTTGTAGCACAAAGAATCAATCATAGTCGCAGTGCTCCGCTCCGTTGGGAGCTGTACCCTGTTTATTTATATTCTATACGATTCTATCGTCAAAACATAATCTAACTAGAAACAAATATTTACTTGAAATTAAATATTAAAATTCTAGATCTCCGTTTAAGTTAATCATGTTAAATACGTATTGTGGACCCATATTTTGCTGCGGGTACCGCTAATATCTATACATCCTATTCTCTATGAAGTATATAATAAAGTGTATGCATAATGCATAAAGTAACTTTATCTTAATTTATTCTCAACCGGTGATCCGTGGACTACACGTGGTCCGCGAGATGATTGTAATTGGACAGTAAATCAATTTTAACAAGTATACACACACAACCTGTAGTTTGTTCACTCAGACCTCACTTATTAGAAAATAAGCACAAAAAAATTTCAAGTAATTATACACCCAACATAGCTCATAATATGTACATTCAATTTATAATACATTATACGAGAGATGTATAAAACATATTATAATAATTATACAGTTTATTATTCTTAAACATTGAGGTCATATTGGAAACCACTGATTAAACTACTGATATATTCTATTATATTCCTATTATATTATCAGCTTACATGCTTTGTGTACATACTAAATTAGTTATAGAATTAGTCAAAAAGATGCTATATAATTTTCTTCACCATTTTTTGTCGTTTCTTCAAGATAGTGCTATACTTTTCGGGTGGCGACTCTAAATATATATACGAAATAAAAATGTTATAGCCTGTGTATTATAACTTTAGTAGAGATTTGTATTATAAATACTGATACATTGTAAAGTCAGTCCGCGGTTTAGAAGAAAATTCCAATTCTACCATCAGCTGGAACTTCTGAAGTGAGGATTATGAGGAGTTTCTGTGCATGGCTTCCTTTTGATAAGTTCCCAGAATCTAGTTTTATTATAAGTGGACCATGTTAACCTGGAAGTAGCATATGACTTAAGTGCCTTCCATCTGTTATTGGCAAGCTGAAGAAAGTGGAGGTAAGTACTTCTCTTAATGATCTCTATGGTAATATAAACCGGTACGCATCCAGGGAAGCACCCAACCGAGCTAAATTGTTAGCTTTCTCATTTGCAGGAGTTTGAAGCTCTGTATTTCTTTTTTTAACCATTAATTTAAAATGTGCTATAGTAAAACTTCTATTTGTAGAATAATATGATATTAAATATCCTATAGTATATTATGATGTTGAATACCCCCATAAAATATTACCATCAACATATATATTAAAAAACGAATGATTAAATATTGAACTAAGTATTCTTCAAATATACCATATTATCATTATATATAAAGCATAATTTTTTATATTCAAACGCAGACTGAAATAATATAAATTTTGAAATAAAATTAGACTATATGATTAACCAAATTGTGGTCAAAAATTTTTTGGTCAAAATTGCTTTGGCAAAAATGCCTCCGAATTCAGATTTGATCTGATTGTTGAGTAATAAAATCTATTCCAGTTTCATTTGCTGACACTCTTTGAAAATTTTCAATATATTGAAACCGTCAGTGATGGCGCCTGCAGGTGACATGCCAGGAGATGTCACCTGCATTGAAACCGCAATTTGAAATTAACATTTTTTGTTTATCCAAAAATGTCATTCTGTGTCTTTGTTACAAAATCACTGAAAAGTCCAAATTGCAAATTTTAACTAAACTAAACTTAATCAACATAATTATGTGCAGAATGTGTTCGCAATTATTTTCATAAAAGTTCGTGTGATGGTGGCGTTTGGAAAGGATCAACCCAGCCATCCAAAAAGCAACTAAAATTTAACTCCAATGACTTTTCACACAAATATGATAGGAATGATGTCAGAATTTGTTATATATGTGAAAAATTAATTTTTAATTCGTACATCAAATAAAGTTCACAAAATGCTACAGAATTTTAAAGTAAATTTCTAATAAAATAACACTGAGTGCTAATGAATACGCAATTTAATAAATTAAAGTTATTTGAAGAATGCCATTATCAGTTAACAAGCAGAATATTATATTTTCAATATCAAAATTGAGCTTAAAAAGAATTCTCTTTAATTTATTAATTAAAATATTTTTAATTAGAATTTTTGTTTATATATTGTAGATTGAATGCTATTCTCATATTACAAAGGCAAATGTATATTTTCAGTTTGGAATAACGTTCCTCTTTTATATATAAAATGTATTCGTTATTATTATATGTATATCCATGTTTTGGTTATCGACTGAATATTTTAAGTTAAACAAAGGAAAAGATAGCATAGTTCGAATTTTTGATTCCCTATAATAATCTGTGTAAACATACTTCTATGGGTGATTTGATGCAGACTTAATGCATCGTTGTTCAAAGACCACATTATTTTTATATATTATTTTTACTTTCAGAAATACTAGAAAAGTGGGGAATCAAAACGAAAGTAAATTAAATATTTTTAACGCTATTTTAGTTCACTAAGGCATGTGATCGTTTAATAACGTAACGTATTCTTCACTATAACCTATTGTAAATAATTTAAAAGATCTGTTTGGATCTGTACTTAAATAGAATTCATGTACAGAAATTTTTCTATGTTCTCTTATCCAAGCCAACGGATCCAAATCAATAAAACATCTTTATTAATATTAAATATTGTTGCATGTAAGAGTCAGATTTAAATCAGAACTACAAAAAAATTCTCTAAAAAAACCGGCAGATGTCAATGGGTATCAATGTGAAAATAAAAGTCCCTCTACTAAAAAAATTATTTGTTCTCTAGTAAAAAGAATTGTGAGCATCCACAATTCTAGAATGTATCACTTTGCTCCTTTTTTGCAGCTACCTCTATGGCTGCCTCAAAATTGAAATATTGTCATCCAAAAATTGGCGATGATCACCACACCCAAATTCACAACGAGCTTTTATTATTGTATTTAACATAAATAGTTAAATGTTAAGTTTCTCACGATGTATACGGCTCAGATGTACAGATATCAAAAACCACAATTAGTTAACAAAACAAATGGATGTTACTAAGTTTATTTGTCTGAGGTTATTTGTCGGTAAAGCACTATGGAGGCTATTAGCGAGTTATATGATCTGTCAATTTCCCCTGCGTTGCTATCCAAACAAGATGGATCTGAATATGAATATTCAATTTAAAAGTAAATGAGAGATTTATTTTTCATGCCTATTAGATTTAAATATGATCTAGGAAGAGAATACTTGCCTGAGATCTAAAATCTTCTTTTCAGATTCGAAAATTCTACACAGGTGACATACTGGCCTCCATTAGAAGAGTTAAACGTCTTTTGTTCCAAAATGGTGGGTTTGTACCCAAAAGACTTGCCGTTTTATATTCGGAGGTATTCAATAAGTGACATTCTGGTCTTTATTAGAAGAATTAAATGTCCTTTATTCGGTAAGGGTCACATTATAGAACAAAAGATTAGACCTTCAAGCCTTCATTAAAAGAGTTAAGTGTTCTCTGTTCCATTAGCGTCAAATTATAACTTAAAGGACTTACCGTGGTCGCAGTGACTTCTATTCTATTTTATTTATGACTAATTGTGAATGCAATTGAAGTTTAGGAAAAGATAAAGCATTCGTTTCTACATTATTTTTAATAATTCTGATTCTTATACAAAACAATAATGTAAGCATTATGCATATGTAATTAACATATGCCTATAGTTAATGTAGAAGTCATGCAGGCTCGTGCTTACTGTTAATCAATTCAAGTAACTTGTACTCATCTCTTCTGCGCTTGTACTGGAGGGTACTTCTTAACAAAAAAAAAAATTCTTCATCATTTCCCACAGCACTCCTTCTGAGAGCGGGAAACTTAAAGTGAATGGCAGTGCTTTGAGTTTCCTGACGGAAGTTTTTCTGCGCTTAAGTTTTACACTATTTTCCTATTTGGTAAAAACTTTGTCCATTGCGTACTCCCAGCGTAAGTGCAGAAAGGCATATTCCTGTCATTGTTGCTGCAGCTCGGAAGTCTCAGAATGGAATGGTGTAACTTTTTTACAACTTCATTGACTGCTGATAGTGCAACTATTTCTGCTCTTGATTATATGACGGTGGCTGTTGAGTTGCTGCTATTTTTTCGCTGTGGTTGTTGTTGTTACAACTGCTACTGCTGCTGTTGTTGTTCTTTTGTGAAACTATCTGTTGCAATGTCATCTAAGCATTAATGTTGGGTGCAAAAGTAGCAATGCTTTTATGTTCCTGACAATCATACAACGCATATAATGTATGTGCACTTATTTATATGAATTTGTGCATTTGTGTGTAATTTTTGTGTATTTTTGTGTGAAATGATAATGAATAATGCTGTTGATGATAGTGTTGCCAGAAGAGTTGCCGCTTTTATGTTAGCACTTTGCTGATAATATTGTCGACAATGAGGGTTCATTTTGTTGCACAATAAGCACCAAAGTTGACTTTGTTCTTTAGAAAAACTTTTACGTTTTTGTGATAATGTCCACAGGAGTGATAAAAATAAGTTAAAATATGTTGGCAGCAGCATCGGTAGTACCATCAAACTAATAATGAAAATTAATATTTTAAAAATAGCTTAACTCAAACTGTACTTTAATAATAATTTGCTGTGCTCTAATAGAAAATATCAAGTATAGATAGTTCTATTTATAATAGA